AGAGGGAGACATCAGTGTGAAAAAGAAACATCTATCCCTTGCTTGCCCCCCATACGCCCTGACCCCGGACTGAACCGTAACCATTTGGTGCAGGGCGGTGGCGGGAGGGAAGGCGCTGACACACCAGTGACCTGAGCCGGCTGGCCAGGGCCGAGCTGGTGTTCCCTTTAAGAGTGTTCTGCCCATTGGCTTCTAGCAGCGCCCAGGCGGCGAGCAGTGCCAGGCAGACGGGCGGCGGCGGGGGGCTGGGGACATCCCTCCCGTGGACGCCTCCCCCAAGTCGTGGGTCCTGCCGTCCCCCCCACAAGACTGCAAGGCCCTGCTTCCGCTGGGAGAGGCACAAAACCCACGGGAGCCCTTCTTTCCCCAGAACCACGCAGGTTTACTTTCTTAGAGGCAGCGAGGGTAGGTAGAGTTCACAGATTATTTCACCCATGGGAGCCAAAGGACTAGCAAACCTCAGGTGTGTTGAACGGGCAACCTGGCGTCAGCGTCTGTGCGTTTCTGGGTCCGATACCCTGAGCGGTGCTTTTGCGTCCACACTCCTCCTTCCGGTGTTGCCGTCCACCTGAGCACAGCTGCGCAGGCCACGGCTCCGAGCCCCACGCGAGAGTCGGACAAGCGCCAATCTGCACTGAGCTCTCCCGTGACCCCCGCGCTCCACGTGGCCCCCCGCACAGTTCCCTGCTCTCCGTGTCTCCAAGGGAAGGGGACCCGAGGGTCCGACGGGAACACACACACACGTGTTGTCTCGGGACACGGTTCTGGAGGCGACCCCAGCAGCGAGGGCCGCCCCTCGGCAGGGCTCTGAGCGCTCAGGGTGCCCGCGCTGTCCCTGTCCTGTGGCGGGCACACGTGACCACCGTGCCCTCCGGGGCCGGTGGCGGCCAGTGACGCTTCTCCAGCTGGACGAGAGCCTTCCCCCGTTGCATCATCATTCCCCCTGTTGCAACAGCACCGCGTCCCCAGCGAGATCACTGTGTCACAGTGCCACCCAGCCCTCGGGTGGGAAGGCCTTGCTCTGGCCACCAAAAGTCTCCCTCTTTCCTCTTTTCCTTTTTCCTACACTGGTAACAACTTTTTAAAAAAGGAAAAGAATAAAAGCTTCCACACTGTCTGGAAACTGCCAAAGTGCTCAGAGACGATGTCATCAAAACGCTAGGTGACCCACGCACGCCGCTGGCCCCGGTCCGCCGCTTAGCGGGCACCCGTGTGCCGTGCGGAGCCTGCCTCTGAGGCAGCCCTCGGGGACGAGGTGTGGTGGCAGCCACTTCCCCAGTCCTGCGCCGAGTTCGCGCCCAGGAGGACGCCACTGCCGGACCCCAGAGGGGGCGGTGGACACGTCCCAGCGCATCCCACCTGGGACGGAAATGACGTCCAGAAAGAGACAGCCCCCAGGGTAGGGCAGCTCCGGGAGGGAGGGAGGGGTGGACGAAGAGCATACGTCTGTTAGAGGCGTCGCCCGCGCCAGCCAGAACGGTTTCAGCATCCGGAGTAACAGAAAGAGCACGTGAAGCGGCGGTTCCCAGCCAGGGACAGCAGCCGAGCAGCAGCGGCCCGCCAGAACCGGAACCCCTCCCGCTCCGAGGGTCCTCCCCGCGACCCTGCCGCACAGTCCCGCGTGTTCGGTTACAAATAAGACACGGCTTCCTCGACATCAGTGTGTCTTTTCCGCCGTTGGACATAAAATAGACTTCCAGCCTTCTGAACTGAAACGTCACCTTCCTGATCGGAGCTGGCAAACGTAAACAACCATTTTTAAGCTCGCATTCTCTCCCAGCACCGCGTGCGTTTAAAATGGGGAGCTCAGGTGAGTCCCCTCAAGTTCAGGTTCTCAGGCACAGACCCTGTTGCAGGTGCGGACCCGGCCCGCCCGCCTCTCCACGGGCCTCGCACTGAACTGTGCAGTCACTGTTACAGCAACCACTGCCAGGAAGGCCTTCCTGCTCTGGGTTGCGGCTTTTTTTTTTTTTGTCCCTGCCTGAGCGATGCACATTCTGCAACCACAAAATATTTCAACTCCAACTCACTTTTTGAATAAGCAAGTTCTATTCTGTTCCGTTCTTTTTATCACTTGGGTTTATACACTGTTGAGAGACAAAAAAGCTACATAGTTGGTTCACTCCTACAGTGCCATGTTTTCTGAAAAGTGAGAATAGGTTATTATTGAGATAGAGCGCTCCTTGTCCCCGCGGCGTTCTGGAAGGCCGTGGAAAACGGGGTGGGCTCAGCTCTCCTTTGTGTGCGCTTCCAACCCCCCTCTGCCCCCGTCAGGAAAATATGCCTGTCCCATGCCCTGCTCAGTTCTTGACCTTTTGACGAATGCGCCAACAAAAGGCACCATTTATTAGTGATTAATCCATGCCTCTCTGTCCATCAGGAACCGGTTCAAGCCCGTCACAACCCAGCACCACCTCCAGTTACATTCCCCGCCGCCCTGGGCTTGGCTGGCCCGAGCCCACGAGGGCCACGCCACCTTCCCTCAGACCACCTCTCGGGGCTGTCACCTGGGGGCAGGGGCGCACGGAGATCAGCCCCTCCGGCTGGAGTCCTGGGACGCCGAAGCCGTTTCTAACAGACGTGTCCTCCAAGATCGGTCTCCCCCGTGGCACACGACACCCGTCCCTGCCCCCTCCCCCCGCCCCTTCTTCGGACACCTCGGTCGCTTTTGTCCCCCTCTCTTTCGGACGTTCTTCTCAACGTGTTTTCTTTCCACACACACATGGGCGCCTCCTTCTTTCTCAATCCCTCCCGAAGACCGCCTGCCGGAAGGTTCCCCCACGTGGAGGGTGCCATGCCGCCCCCCCCCACCAGGGTGGGGACTCCCGACACTCTCGTGTCTAAAAAGCTCATCTTTGGCTCAAACACAGTCGGGCACGAACCCTTTCAGCCAAGCATTCCTTCTTTCGTGTGTCCTGGCCTGTGTGAGTGTTTCGGGCCACCAGCCGCTCTGGAAGTCGAGCTGTAATTCCCACCCAGCTTTGCAGGGCCAGCGGAAAGCGCCCCCCGCCCCGCCCCCGGAGGGAGAGAAGCCCACCTGACCCCAGTGGCCCCGCGAACCCTGCGAGGCTCACTGGTCATGAAGGTGGGTGGGCGCGATGTCTGTACGACTCGTGATCGCTCTCCCTCCCTGCAAAGTGGTAATGAGCCCGCCCGCCTTCGCCCCCACCCAGGGGAGCCACCCGGGAGGCCCGTTCGCTGTCTCTCTGCCGCAGAACACGGCGATCTGTCTTCAATAGGTCCCTGCAGAAGATCAAGCAGAAGAACTGCTCAGCCACGCTGCGTGGGACTGCAGTTGTTGCTTTTCCTTCCAGCCTGAACTGTTACTCAATCTTTTTCAAATGTCCAAAGTAAAAAAAAAATCTAGGGTAAAAGGCCTGACATCCCATAGTTTTTCCTCCGTGTATTTTCCCATCCGAGCAAGAGAAGCGCTCTGGAGCCACGTGTGAAATAGGAATAACACAAACGCTTTGTCTGGTAGAACGCGCACCCTCGAGGCCGCAGGCCCCCGCGGCCTGTCCCCCCCCCCGAGGGCCTGTCCCCCCCTGCGGGCCCTCGCCTTCCTCAGAGATAAGACGGCCAAGGCCGAGTGACAGGTCACTCCCCGGGAGGGTAAATGTCGCTGACGTCCTTGGAAACCTGTGAGTGGTGTGCAGCAAGTAATGACTGTCACTGGAGGGAGAAACCACGACATTGTTACCCTCTGGTTTGAAGCAAAGGTCTCCCATGTTTGTCCGACGCCTGTGCACTTGGGTGGGTCCTCCAGATGTCTCCCTGGACTCGGGGACGTACGACTCGGGTCCCCAGGGCTGGGACTCCTGCCCGGCCAAGGGCCCGAGGCAGCTGTGGTGGTCACCTCAAGGCCCTATGGGGCGGAGCCTTCTTTGGGTGCTCCAGGTGACCGACTGGGGCTGACCATCTGCCTGGACTTAGAGGGACTCCAAAACCACCAGTAAACCCTGTGAAACCATCACTAAAACTGTCCTCTGGATGCTCGGGGACCAATCAGGAGCCGTCACAGCAACAAAGGCAGGGCCCCCGTAGCCCCCAACCCCCACCCCTGTATCCACAGGGTGAGACGAACCCCAGAGATGAGCACTTGGGTGTGTTGCTCTTGCGGGGAAAGAGCTACGAGTATGTACAAAAGCAGCAAAGTCACGGGGACGGCACAGCCTCTCGTTCCAAAGTACATCCGTTGAGTCACGGAGGCCCCACCTCGGTCTGAGCTAGAATGCTCCTCCCGGAGGGGCCCTGCCGGGCTTTCGAAGAACTCACGGCCCGAGACAGCAACCTCTAAGTCAGTGTCAGGTCTGCACTGTAGCCACAGAGACCTCACTTTTATTTTTTTTATTTTTTAAAAGATTTTATTTATTTTTAGAGAGGGAAGGGGGGAGAAAGAGAGAGAGAGAGAAACATCCATGTGCGGTTGCTGGGGGTCAAGGCCTGCAACCCAGGCATGTGCCCTGGCTGGGAATCGAACCTGCGACACTTTGGTTCGCAGCCCGCGCTCAATCCACTGAGCTACGCCAGCCAGGAGACCTCACTTTTATTTAGTCCAGGGGCATCAAACATTTTCACCGGGGGCCACAGCAGCCTCGTGGTTGCCTGCAAAGGGCCGAATGTAACTTCAGGACTGTATACATGTAACTACTCCTTCACAGCTAAGCAAGAGCTGGGGGCTGCCACCGGGCAGACACAAGGTGCCGGGCCGGGTAAAACAAGGTGGAGGGCCGGGTTCAGGCCGCGGGCCCTGTGTTTGCACTTGCGGTTTAGTCTCTTGTTTCTCTGGTTTAGATGAGTTCTCTTCCGCTCCAGTCTGAGACTTTGTGCCTTCGTGCATTTGTCACAACCCCCCGAAACCCTGCAGGATCGCGTGAAAACCCGCGCCCCCTCACGAGCACACGGAGAGGGGGGATGCCCAGGCCGACACACGCAGGACTTCCCGGGCCACGGCGGGCAGAGCAGTAACGGGCCTCTCTGTGTGTGTTTGCCCGAACCAGTGAACTCCGGAGACGGCATCGAGTACAGCCAGCAGAAGAGGGAGAACGTGGGCGACCTGATCCAGGAGACGCTGGGGACCCTGGAGCGCTACGGCGGAGAGGACGCCTTCATCAACATCAAGTACATGGTCCCCACCTACGAGTCCTGCTTGCTGAACTGACAGGGGGCGGGGGTGTGTCGCACAGGGCCGGGAGCCCCCTCCACGTCCAGGCCACCTGTGCACGCCGCTGGGGCCTCCACGCAGGGCGCGTCCCCTGCGTCCCCTCCGGCGGCGGCCGCCGTGGCTCTCGCCGGGGCCATCGGAATGCCCGCCCCGTGGACAGCAAGGCTTCCCGATACATAAATAGTGTCTGTTTCTCAGATCACAATAGCGCACTGTGCTCGTTTGTTCCGCGAGAAGAACGGGCCCTTTATGCGGCTCGGACAGAATAGGAGGCCGAATTCAGCCGTCAGCTGTATAGACAATAAACCGCGATTTTCGTGCGCGGCCCAGCGAGCGGCTGGGCCGTGTCTGCCTGCCCTGAGGGTGATGTCAGAGGCCGCGGGGGGGAGGGCGGTGCTGGCCCCTGAACGGGTGTTTGTGGTGGGGGACAAACGGGGGCTCGGCAGCACCTCTGGGTGACCGTGCACAGCGGTGTGCTCGGCGCCCGATGAAACCGGGGAACCTATACCCCAGCTACAGGGGGACGGTCGTGCAGCCCAGTGTGCAGCTCGGCTGTGACCGCAATGAACATCTCCCGCCCGTAGTGCTGTGGGCTTGCGGGAGGGAGCCCTCCGGGTTATCGGGGGGGCTGGGCGGGGCGGGGAGACTGGAGGAGGGCGGGGGTGCGGGGCTGGGCACGGAAGGTGACGTGGAGAACACGGTTCTCAGGGGTGCTCCTTTGAAGGCTTGTCCCGCCCGTGCGGGCCTGTCTCGTCAGGACCTGGTGTGCCGGCGACAGCACGTTCCCCAGCGGTTCGTTTGGGGCGTTTAGTCATGGTTGGAAATGGCGCGTAACCACTTGGGTCGCTCAGTCTTAATGAGGACCCCTGGACACGAGTTCAAGTCTTCTTGGCGGTGGTCCCCTGCCCTTGGCTCCTCCCACACGAGTCGGACGGCAGCTCTCTGCAGGTCTGATGGCGGGGGTTTGGGATTTTATCGAGGCCCCAATAATAAAAAATTAGACCAAAAAAAAAAGCATGCACTTTTCCGTTCGACTGCGGAAGAACAAAGGCGCCCAGAAAGAGGACCGAGTCCAGGGCCCCTGGGCTGGCAGTGGCCGTGCAGGCTGGCTGGACAGTGAGCGGGGGGCCTTTGCAACTCAGCCCGGAAGGCTGCCCAGGGACGGGACACCGGCCCCCCAGACCCGAGGAACGCCGCGACCACCCAGAGACGCGTGGCCCCAAAGGCTCATTCCGCAGCAAAGCGCCGTTTCTGCGCAGGCCTGAAGCAGAAGCGAAATGCCGACATCGTGCCCTGAGCGTCGGCCTAGAGATTGTCGTCGCCGACTGTTCCAGACCCCAGTTTCCGGAGGCGAACACCGCGTTCGCCGACTGGCTCACTAGCCGTCTTCCGCGACGCCCGGCGCAGCGGGGAAGCCCAGCAGCCCCCCAGCAGCTGCCGCCATGTGGGTTCTGCGCGCACTTCTCGGGGTGAGTGGAGAGGCGGGACCAGGTAGGACACATCGGCTTTCGTGTCCAGTGTGGCGAGAAGACACAGCTGGAAGCACACGTAACAGCCTGCGGCAGGCTTTCCTCTAAACGGCCACGTGCGGCTGCACCCAGAAGCTCTTGTCCCAGCATGGACGGCGAGTTCAAAGGGACACCAGTGTCCACGGCACGACTGGGAAGACGGTGGCTCAGGGGCGCCCTTCAAAGCTCCTGCTGGAATTTCCCACACGGCTCAGTCGGGACTGAGAGAAGCAGGCTGGGCCTCTGGCTCTGGGTCACGCTCCCACAAACTGCCCAGGGCAGGCGGGAGAATTCCGCTCCCCCCACCCCTAGCCTAGAGCCCTAACTTTGGTCTGGGGCGGAAACACCCCGCTTCACTTCCCAGCTGTCTCGGGCCAGCTATTTGACCTCCGTGAGCCGCCCGAGGTGACGCCGGCCTGCAGGAATGCGGCGCGGACCCCGGGGGACTGGGCGAGGCACCGGGTGCAGTTCCGCAGGCCGGCTGGCCGGCCGGCCCTCCGGTTCCCAGACGAACAGCACGTGGACAGCGCGTCCTTCCACCGCGGCCGATCTCCAGGCAGCCCGGCACTTCCTGCAGGACAACGCCGGGGTCTTTGTTCACGAGAGATGGCTGCGCAGGAAACCCAAGTGACTGCACAGGCACTGCCACGTTTTCTGGCGGCCGTTTAAAGATGCACGTGGCTTCGCTGGGACAGACGCAGGAGCGGCCTGCTTCATCTGCTTTCTCCACCCCGGGTCTGCCGTCTTCTCCCGGGTAACGCCTGGTCGGAACGAGAAGAGTTCTTCCCCCTGCTGCGTTTTTACACCCACACCCCCTCCCAGAGGGATGGAAGGAGATGCGGTGAGGAAAAGCAGAAACAGCCGGCCCCCGTGGGAGGCAGGGGTTTCCTGTCTGGGGTGAGTGGGTTGTGTTTGCTTGAAGCCACCTTCCACGTGTCGGTTATCTGGGTGGGACCTTGAGGCCGTGACTCAGGAGTTTCGGAGCCCAGAGCAAGTCACTTAAACTCCAGTTCCTTCCCTGTGACGGTCTCTGCCCCCTGGGGTCGCTGCCAGGACCTTGCGACCCACGCAGGGCGGGGCCCAGGGCTGGAGCCCGGGCGTGGGGACCGGACAGAACTGGCGTGGAAGTCTCTGCCCACCGAGCAGCTGCCACCTGATCTGGGGCAAGTTCTGGAGACCCTACAACTCCAGTCCCTCTCCACACCCTCATCGGGCTCGGGAGTGTCTACCTTGGGGGTTTGCTGTGGCACCCCAGGAAAAACGCACGTGAGGAAAGGACTCCGAGGGAGCCCCATGGGAGAAATGGGAGCATGGGGGGCTGGCGGGGGAGGCCCCGCAAAAGCAGCCAGCCAGGCGCCTGGAGCAGAGGGGTTCTCGCCACACCTGCTAAGGTCCCCCGTGCCTGGCAGGCACCCGTCTTGGCTCCGACATGGGACCAGGTGAGGAAGACATCAGGCCTGGCGGAGGCCCACCTGCCCTGGGAAGTCCCCTCGGCGGGCCCCCCACGGTCTGCTCGCACCTTCTCGTTCCCGTCCCACGGGGAGGACGGCGCACAGTTCTCACGGCCCAGCGACGCCCGCGACGCTTCAGGCCGAGATGCGAAGCTCACACACCCCGGGCAAGGGCGGCATGCCTGGGGAACGGCGTCCTGTAACCTGCAGACGTCTCAAACAAACAGAGAAACCCTCCGACCCCCCGGAGGTTTGCTTGAACGCCATCTGTGGAGAAGCTTCGGTGCCCGCGGCGGCCCTCTCAGAGCACAGCCGTGCAGAGACACCAACCGGAGCCCCTTCCGTCCGTGTCGATGCCCACCGCACCGCTGCTGCCCTCGGCTGCTCCGAGATGCCCGGCCCCGCCCTTTGCCAGCAGAGGCTGGGGAGCTCCAGGGCAGGGTCAGCTGGGAAGTTGGGTGCCTGGGGACACCTGATAGGCTTTCCAACGGAGTCGGAAAACCTCAAATGCTTTTTAAACAGTTCCCTCCACGACAGGATCCCTTTTTAAAAAGAAATGCACCGGTTGACCAAAGTCTGTCCAGTAGGGGACAATTTCGGATACAAACTGAAATGACCAGGTTTACACCACACCGAGAGGGTCCGCACCCACGGTTTGAAGGTTTGGGGCCGAAGACCGCCTGCCCTCGCACAGCCTGCGGGTAGCTCAGCCCACCCCACCCCCCCCCCCGCTGGGAGCCAGAGGTCACTCCGAAGGGCGCAGTCCCCGGGCCCCGCCTTCCCACTCTGGTCCCACGGGGTGGGGGGCCCCCGAAACTCACAGAGCACCAGACAGAAGGGCATCCCTAGGCTCAACCAAGCTCGTTGCTTTTAAAATAAGATATCGGGGGTGATTAAACCTTCTGGCCGTCCTTTGTGCATTTGTTTGCCCTGATAATGAGGTGAAGTCCACCTGTGTCCTGCGGGGGAAGGGCCATTTCGAAAGGGGCGGCGCCACCCCAGTCGACTCCGGTTCTTCGTGATCACGATGCGTTAGTACAAGACAGTCTAAGCACCCTCCCGCCCTGCAGTGATGAGAAACAGCATGCCGGTGAGCTTGGGCTAGCCCCGAGCACTGTCCTGCCGGCAAACACACGTGGGCGCTGAATCCGATTCTGGAAACATCTCGCGTCGTCTTCGCCCCTTTCCCTGGTGTCCCTGTGTGAGCGTGAACTCGGTGCACAGACACCCAGAGCACGGGGCGGGCTCGCTGTCCGAGGGGCCCTGACTAGCGGCGGTGCGCCCCACCCCCCAGGATGAGCACAGACAAGGACGCGAGAGTGGAAAGCAGCGCCCGTGGAATGGAGTCGGCGAGACCGCGCAGCGCGGCCTCCACAGTGAGGAGGGGGTCCGGGACGGCTGCTCCTCACACCCTCGTCCCACTCGGGTCCCGCGCTGGTGGCGTCGGCTCCCGCATGCATGTTACTGGCAGCTAAGATGATGCTCCGTCCCCGGGAAAGGGTGCAGACGGGCGGGCGGCAGAAAACGCCCTTCGCGCACGGCCTCACTCGCATCGCTCAGTGTCAGGGGCGGTTCTCGGTGTCCCCACCGGGAGTGCTTCCAAGCTTTCCTTATCCATCTTCACTTGGATCCCTTATCCCTTTCTGCTTTGCCAAATTCCTGTAAGCTTAAATCTGGGAGAAAGGTTTTGTTCTCTTCCTGTGCTCGGGACGTCTGAAAATGGATCACTCGAGTCACTTTTCTGTTTAGAAAGCATTGAGAAATAGCGCCTCGCCGGCCCGAGGAGCCCGTGGGAAGCCACGCGGCTGACACCCGGCGAGTGCACAGGGCATGCGGTGCTTTGCAGGGTCAGGAACTCTCCCGTGGGAAGGTGCGCCCAGGGTCGCCTGCCGAGAATTAGCAGTGCTCGCATTAGGAGAAGAGGGAATGCAGTGTGTACGCCCCTAGTGAAGACACCTCAGCAGGGACTGGGGCGAGTTCTACCAAAGGGAGAGCCTGGTGGTGCCGGGGCACCTGCTTCTCCTCGTCTCCTCGCTGG